GCGGAAAGACACATGTCGCAGTGTATGTTCTGGGATCAAGCTTGACGGCGCTCAAAGTCCGGAGAAGCGGCTATTTCCGGGCCTGGTGAAGTTGGCAGGAATAAATAAATTTCCTATGGATCAGTCCGTGACAGCCTGGTAAGTTAGTTGAGTGCTTACGCAATTTATGTCCGCCTGTGATTGGCTGTCAATCAGACTGAATTTGCGCATATTCACGCCGATCGAAACCAGTGACCACAGGATTTTCAGGCAGGTGCATGCGCCATGGGCGGAAGGCTTGTACGCGCTAAAGGAACTACAACTTAAACAAAACTTCATGGAGTTATCTGCGCTCAGAACATACTTTTTCGTCTTGATGATTCCAGTCTCTGTCGTTGGAAAAGGGTTACGGAGCCCGTTGTTCCATATTCCATCAGACCTAGAAGCTTGTGCGCTTTCGAGGACATCATTTACATCAAGCGCTCCTTCAGGCGTAGAAGAACCATTCTGACAGTTGGGATGCCCGCCTCCATTAATAGTCTGTCCGGGCAGTACTGCTTGTCCAGAACGCGTGTCAGGGATTCCCAACCCCCAAAAGACTAAAATTAGTTCGCCAACTGTTAAATTAAGTCTCACGAAGCTTCTTTGCATAAACCCGGGAGGACATCAAGTTAAGCCTGACCCTTGCTACCTTCCGATACACTAATTACCGAATAACCACCAAAAAGTAAAAAAAACAGCTACCATGCTCAAAACGGTACCCAGCTGTTCAATACGCCGAGTCAACTGTAAGTGTGAGCGGAACTAGCCTCACGTGGATGACCAGTTCTCTCACTTCTGAAGCACCACCATCACAAAGAGCATTGGATTCTGCGAGGAAGTTGCAATCAAAACCAACGAAGGCAGGTTCCAACAGTGTCTGAAATCGCGGCATACCCCTCAGCGCCTACAGTGAGCGACCGATCTCACGAAACGTTGGCTGAAATTCTGAAGTGCGTTTTCAAATAGGAGGGATTACATAGGTGCGGTTGTAATACTGATTAGCTTGCGGTATAATCCTGTAATATTTTGGAAGTGGCAGCATGTCAGCTTTTGAATGCATAGCGTTTCAATCTCTTGTAGAAACCTTACTCGGTAAAAAAATGACTACTTAAGCAGCATGCATTTTCTCATTGATTTCGATCGTCTTGCTAATTCAAATATATTCTAGAGAAATCACGAACAAAAATATGCTTATTTTCAGTCGTTTGTTAGAGAAACACATCGCCTTCATATTTTACATTTGAAAAAGTTTCTGACCATGAGATTTTAAAGACCGTGCAATGTCCATTCATACAGCATCTTACCTGTCCGTTTACCATTGCTCCATGGTAACATGGTCCGCATTAATTGTAAAATTTTATGAACTCTATGTGATATCTTTTTAAAGGCATAGGCGAATATATGATTTTCTATACGCGGAGTGCATGCACCCTGTAGACTGAAATCACTAAGCGCTAATGTAACGACTGCTCAGGCTCCAAATTATTCGGGAATTAGAGAACTAATTTTCAACCTAATTCTGCTCCTTCTTCGGGTATAAAGCATGAAGATGACATGGTTCTCTATCAAACGACTGAAGGAAAGCATATTTTTGTTCGTGAATCAGCAAGACCATCGAAATCAATGTGAAAATGCATGCTGCTTAAGTAGTTATTTTTACCGAGTAAGGTTTCTACAGGAGATTGAAACGTTATGCATTCAAAAGCTGACATGCTGCCACTTCCCAAAAATATTATAGGACTATACAGCAAATTAATCAGTATTACAACCGCACCTATGTAATCCCTCCTATTCGAAAACGCACTTCAGAATTTCAGCGAATATTTCATGTGATCGGCCCCATCTACGGAGCGAAAACTTGGGCAATTCTCAAACCTCGAGCAAGGAAGCCGATCCCCTCTCGCCTAAACTGTCTTCGAACGACACCAACGTTGTAGCGGACAGAATAGATCGACTCCAACGATGGACCTGAAGAGCCTGCTATGCCAAAACCCATGTCATGTGTAAGCATATCCATCTCCACATCGTAAACATGTGCCTGCCAAAATTGAAACTTTATGATAACGTCGGTACAGATACTTGTACGTAAGCTCAACAAGTCACTGCAGATTAACGCATTAAGAACCACTAAAATAGTTGGAGATCAATGAGGACAGCTTATGTGGTGTGCATTCCGAGGTGATATAATAAAAAAGAGAAGTCTCTTCGGAAAATTGAGTTGTACTCGTAAATTTTCGAGTCGGTGACACCGACCCGACACTGAGATTGATCGTTCCAGACACATGCCAGCCTGGTCAGACGCCCATGAAGCCATCCCAAGACGACTGGAGGACTAGTTCCAGAAGCCCTCACAACTTCCACCTTCCCTGCCGGCATTACATCCGCGCATTCAGTCACCGCGGGAGACTACTGTGTCATACCCACGTAAACGAAAACTACCCCTGATATACAGAGCATACACCTAGCACTCGCACACCCAGAGTTCAAGCACCGATCACGCGATTAGGTTAATCAAGGTCGACGCTGACAGCGAGCGTTTCGCGTTGCAGGCACGAGACGGAGGATCACACTGCGTCGGCCACCGTGCCATACCTCAACATTAGTTGGTCACTGGCGCATGGGAGAGGGGAGAGCGAAGACGATGCTGAAGTGCACCCCCTCATGGCAATTCAATGCACTAATCCCCATAGTGAGGCTGACGCGATGCGCCGCACTTCGGCGGCCTGATAGGCGACGGGATAACTTTTTTCTCTAGTGGACCGAGGATTAAACTACTGCAGCACCCTCCTAGTTCGGCATTCGTTGCATCTGATTCACTTCTGTGAGACCACAACCCCTGTGCGTAACGCGCTAGACGCAGGACCTACGTTGCGTCGACCGCGCCCAATTTCGTTTCTAGTAGGTAGGACTGGGATGGAGAACCAACGCATGCGAGATCGAAGACGGTGCTATCAATAGAACCATTGCTTAGTTCCTCTCCATAAAATACCGGACGCGCCTCTTGACTAACCCAACGTGAAAAAATTGGTTTAGAAGATTGTTGACCGAAAGGATAATGGACCCCACTCAAGACTGGGGATTAGGCTGCGACGGTTCTTTAATGTGGTCGATACCTAACTGGAGACTTTTTTGTGTGGAGTTAGGAACTAGCAGGTGTAGTACGTAAGACGCGACCTCGGCCTCACTAGCTACTGCGTCCGCGCCCATCCACAATTGGTTTGACTCGGTCTAGCCATTGGAGCATGATGTGGGAAAACCAGGCAGGTAGATGCACGGAAAGCCAGCTCCAGAACAAACAAATATAGGCACCATTGACACGTATAAATTAGACGACCGGGTAGACATCCTGTCCTCGCCCCAACACTCCGCCGGGCAGGTCCCACCAGGTGCCTCCTCCTTACTCGCCTATTAAAATGACTCGGTCGGGTGCTGCCAATCCAACGTCTGGAAGCTCACCCCGCGTAAACTCAACCCCCGATGGTGACGGCGTCAAGAGGCCTTCGCGGTTTGAGTTTGCCTTTGGCAAATCCGTAATCCTGGCCAACGGAACCGACCTGTCAAATGGCTCAGCCGAGGCCTGGAGTGACTGACGTTGATGGAGACCGGTCATTCGCAGCGAACCTAGGCAAGCAATCAATCCAATCAGTTATACGAATACCGTTGCAAGTACAAGTAACTGAATGCTCCAATAACGACTGGCTGAAGGACGAAGCCGGATGAGCGTTGTGGCCGCAGCCTTCCGCATCCAGTGGAGTCTGTGATCCGGCACAGTCGGCAAGGTAGGATCTGTCGTGTTATTGCAAGCGCATCCAGGGTAGTCTGTTGTCATGACATCCACTGCCGCGCAAGCCCTTCTCGCTGTTATCCAATTCACGCACAGGTCGCATTCATCATCCACTTACAGCGAGATGACAATCGTTCACTACGGGTACACTTCGCATACTGCAACGATCAAACTCAGCTAGCCGAACCACGTCCGACATTGATTCCCGGAATAAGTCGGCCAACGGAGGGGCCTGTTCCTAAACGCAGGCACAACAGCTAATTGGAACGTCACAGAATAGTCAGTCACTCCAAGCACGCCTTCTCGTGCCTGGAAGGCACCAATGGCGGACCCAAACGAGAATTCACGACATAAAAGAAGGCGAAGAGCATATGGTTAGCAAGCAGCATTCAAAGAACAATACCAACTTGACTAAAATAAAGAAGAGGGCGGAAACATGCAACCTTTTATCAGGAGGAAGTGTGTCGGCCGAGCACTGGGTAAGTAGTGTTGTACACGTACATGTTTTGCTACAGTGGTGGTGGTGGTGCATGTGTGGGTGAGAAAGCCAGTTTAGAAAAAAACCACAGCCAGGCTTGTTTCTTTAAAAATCAGGGTGTGTGTGTGTGGATGAGTGGGGAAGAGCACAAAAAAGAACTGATGCTAGCTGGGCGCTCATGAAAGACATTGAACAAAACCGCGAAGGGGCGATGCGTGTCCATCATGGACGAGGGAGGACCGATCACAGAGCGACTATACCTACAAACAAGGCAGTAGAAAAATCGTAAACATGGAGATTGAAGATCTGCTCAGGAATGCCGGTTGTAAATTAGCAATGGCAATATCTTCGGTATAGCACGCGCCTCAGTACACAGGCGCGATGCACCCTCTATGGAGGCCGTTTTGCGCTAAGGAACTGCCAGTGATAGAACAGTTTAACCCAGAAATAAGTATGTGTGATGGAGTAAGTCTTTTAAGACAAACCCTTTCAGGCTCGGTCGCAAGTTGACATGAGTAGTTTAGCTCAAATCTATCAGCTGCGGCAGAAAACCGCGTAATACTCACAAGCTGCAGACATGCAGTCGGTAGTATGCAAATTTTGGGTGATTTATCATGCTGACAGAATGAGTATTAGTCAGGGGCTCGATTAAACTACTCACAAAATTTTGCACAACTGCAAAGGATTGCAAATCCTAGGCGGCATGGGGAAACAAACTCAGTCAACATGGGTCTTGCCGGTGGTTGGGTCAGGAACTTCGTCAGGAAGCGTCGACACCGGATGGCTATGATGACCACAAACAGTGGAAGGTGACCCCGACGTGTTCGAGAACTCCAGTGACATCTGTGGTGGGGTCAGAAGAAACAACGGGTCAATGAGAAACCACAATTAAGGGTGTTTCTGACTGAAGATGAAGGAGCAACAAGGAAAATGGTCTGTATCAAGCGAACTAGTCTGGTGGAAGAGCTGTCTAACAGCCATCACAATAAAAAAAGAAGTTAGTTCCCAAGTAGGAAGGCAAATCTACGAAAATTAACCAGTTCTGACAAGTATTTTAAACTGTACTGCGTCGCCAGACGACGCAGCGAATAGCGCTCGTTCCCACAGTATCGGCATAACCCGAAAGTCTGCTGAGCAACAGAATTTAGATGGTCAAGGTCAACCTAAATCCTAACTTACTCTAAAGGCATGCCTAATCTTGCTAAACCCATATCCAGCAATTGCTTAGGAATCAACTGTTTCGATTGTGTTAACAATTACGTAGGCGCCGCTCAGAGGTACAACCAGGCACAAACAGAGCAGTATACGATGCAGAGGGGAAGGTACGATAGGCAAAAGTTAATCCCGGAGAGTTATGACGACCGAACTAAGACATCCGGGATCGTGCGCATGCACTAGGAATGGAGACGGTTTACGAAGTTCCGGAAACAACCGGCCTGTGAATCCCACCACGCAGATAAGCCGACAGCCATCTGCAAACGAACGCATGAAAACTTGGGTAGGGGGGGAGCAGTTGTGATTATTTAAAGTAGTAAAGGGTGGAGTCAATGTGCACAGGCTTTTCCAACTAGGGTAGGGATATGGATTTCCAAAAAAGCAATGTATAAGGAGAAAAAAAACAAACAAGAACCAACCTGAGTTAAATCTTTTCCGAATTCCGCACTCAGTTGGGGTTCGTCACTCTCAAAGTCCCCCCAGTTCTCGTCCTCCCAAGAATCGGGCACAGGCGGGTTAACATATAGGGTGGGATTCATAATTTTGTGTGGAGGCGTGGAGCAATCACCGTCCATTGAGCAAACACCATGCAGAGACAGTGGCGATGGTGGGAATTCCTTACTGTCGGCAGCCGAGGTTCGATTATGCTTTGGTTCAAACGGTGGTGTTAAAGTGCGAAGGTCAGAGGGGTCGAGTACTGCCGCCGGATCTGTGGGCCGGTGGGAGGTGTCATGTCGACTTGGCACGCAGGCCTCAACAGATGGCTCTGAGGATGCAAACGCAGTCTCGGTGAAGGATAACCGTGTATCTAGAGCAGGATTTTCATCCTTGTCGAAGGTATCCGCCTCCGAAGAGACGGTAATGGGGTTGGAAACACTGGGAGTGCAGGGTAACTGTTGGATACTGTTTCCCACCAGCATACTGTCAGTTGTCATACACTCTTGGTTCTCTCGACCTTTCTTCAGCTGAGACATTTCTTGTGCATTTGAAGAGCTCGTCAGGGGTTCTCCGCCTGCCTCTCCAGATTGGGGCCAGAGGTCGGAGCTGAATAACTCTTCGGTCGATTCAGCCATATCCGACTTAACAACATCTTTTCTGCCACTTTGGTCGGCTGAATGTACTGGTTCCGCACTCATTTTTGTAGCAACGTCAGAGACAGGTGTCAACGAGGACCAGTGCTCCTCCAAATAACCCCCTCGTCCGATGGTATTATCGGGCCGGGGGACGCTGACATAGGCATTATTCAAAGTCTGTTTCGACCGATCAGGTAAACCATCAGTGGGAAAACTTCCAGCATCGCATGACGGGCGGGCGGAGGTTTCTTCGAACAGATAAGAATCGGCATTTAAACTTGAGTGGTGTGACGGGTCAACTGCACTCACTAAAGACGAGTTTTCTCCCTCTACTACTGCTTGCTCACCTTCGTCTTTTTGATCTTCAGCGAAGGACGAGTTAAGGACCAATGGAGGCCTCGTACACTGTTGAACATCGGGCTTCGGTTCGGTGATAGGCTCTACACGCACGCACGTTCCATCTGAAGATGTAAAACTACCTTCATACTCATTTCGGTTGACGTTAACGAACAACTCATTACCAGCGAGGTCCTCGTCCAGATTTGCCACAGACTCCATTCGGTCCAAAGCAACCGCAGCCTCCATCACGGAGCAGTTTGATCGCCGATCAAATTCAGGTCCTCCCTTGTTATCCCTTGTCAGAGCCCCTGTAAAACCAGAAGCTTCACAGAGGGTGGAGTTTTCCTCCTCTCGGGTCTTCTCACTGGATTCGCCTGCCCCTTGCATTGGAATGGGCTTATCGATTTCGATCGATAGTTGTCCCACCTTATCAGATACACTCTCTATGTTGCCTCCTACAAGCGACGTCGATGCTTGAAATTCGCCAGGAGGAGTTCGTTGATCTGATGTCAAGTCTACATCCTGGGTCGGATCTTTAATCAAAGATTGTTTCAAATCATCAGAAGTGAGTGGGTGCGGAGGGTTGTCAAGGCAACAAACACCGGAAGTCCCGTCAATCATATGATCCCGGTAGTCTGAGGGAATGTCGTCTGGGCTGGGGTTAGAGCACGATGAGTCTAGTGCAGATGAAGCCGTTAGTGCAGACTCAACATGATCAAAACTTTCCTCTTGCGTCTTTGTCTTTTCCATAAGAGAACTGGTCAGACCGTCGACTTTGCTTGCGTCCAGAGCAAGATCATGACAGTTCACCGTTTTTAAAATAGGCGTTGGAGCTTTCGGCTGGTCAACAGAGGAAACGGGTTCCATCGCGTGGTAAGTACCACAGAACGTGCTATCGGACCCCATGGGACTATCAGGCAAAGCTGGGTGAAATTCGGTCTCCGCACAAATGACAGGGGCTTGTGCACTGTTACTCGCATCGGCCTGTCCGTTATGGTCGAGAGAGTGGTTCTGAACAGATTCAGAAACCTCGTGGAGTTCATTTTCTTCAGTGTAAACGTCAGAATAAATCTGAGAAGCGTAGGGGGCCTTAGTAACATTCGAGGTTTCACCAGCCAACATCTCTGCTGTGGTGATATTAAGACTTGGGTCTTGAATAGTAATCAGATTCTGTGTCAATGAAGAGGGAGAAGGAAGCGAGCACTGGTTGGACGTCGATGAATCATCCATTGGTGTCTCCCGAAGTGCATCTGGCGATTTGTTTCCCTCTGATGAAGACTGCAAATTTTCGACTTCCTCTGCAGGCAGTAATCCCGCTACAGGTGCCAAATCACGTGGAGCAGTTGCATCAGGTCCAAAACCGAATTGTAGGGGAGGGACGTCCTGGTTGAGGGCCTGTGAAATTTCGTGAGCCACATCAACCGTTTCTTTTTGCTCCTCCGTGGATCCCGCAAGAAAAATCTCCTCTTCCTCGCCAGATAATTGGGGAGAATCATCCTCAGGACTCTCGGCAGACGATATCTCTGATATGCGCCGAACTTTGGCTCTAGTGTCTGTTGAAAGGGCAAACGGCAGGGTAGCACCAACATCCCTCTCACTATCAAGCGAAACTGGCAGTGACGGCAGCGGTGGTGCATGTTCTACCTCCTCAAGCGATTGTAGGCCGTTTAAAACTGGGGAAGTGCCCTCTTCAAGCAGTCTGAGGGGGTCAGAACTAACATAATCTTCGTACTCATCTACCGTAAGTGGCGGCCAGTGGGACGATGGTGGGGATGGAATTAGCTCTTCTTCAGCCTGCAACTGATCACCTTCTGAGTTCGCTAAGTTGGAGGGATCATCATACAACGGAGAAGGGTTCGTATGCTGTGATTCGACTTCACACTCTTCTCTACCCATGATAAGCTGATCAGGCAATTGTGTCTGACACTGCTCAAACAAGTTCGGGGCGTCTGGAGACTGACTTTGGTAACGAAGAGACGGTGAAGAATCAGCGGTTATCGAGGCATCCTCCACAGCTCCGTCTTCTTTATTTTCGGACGCAGGATGGTCATCGGTTCTGGACAAGTTATCGGTGTCGTCTGTGGCAACAATGACCGCAGACATCTCGTTGTTGTGAACAGCGGGAGCAGAGTTGGTGGTTGCAAGTTGAACTGCCCCTTCGGACGGAAGCTCTAACTTCTGTTTCAATGCTGAATGACGGTTACGGCGTAGGCAGTTGTCCAGATCAGCTAAGAAGGTCTGCATTAAGCCTGCGTCCTTCTAAAATGGGAAAAATAATTAAATGAAATTTAACAGGAAAACCAAGCTAGCTCAGAACGGTCGGACGCAAAGATGGTCGGCAGCCGCCTTTTGGAACAGTGGTACAGGCTGCATCGCGAGGACAAAAGCTGTGAGCCTGCTTTCTTGGCACTAGAAAAAAGGGTTAGCGGGGTCATACTATAGTGTTTCATAAAAAATTGCCGTAATACGGCTTCCTTTTTGTTGTAAACAGAATATACTTCCTAGAGCTCCGAAGCATGCAGTAATCCCTCGCTAAATCGTTCTTAAATTTACGCGGCTTCAGTCTATTGTGGGTTTCTCGCTAATTTACGGATTTCTGCAGGCGATGTTTGTTTACGTGCGTACGTTCTGCTAATCTTACCTAGTATCTAGGAGAATACAAAGGGTTTATGCGGCATAACTGTGGGAAATATTTATAAAAATGTGGAAAGGTCTAAAATGATTTGAAATATGAAGAATAACCATAAAAGCATACAGTTTTTACTTCGCGAATTTTCACCTTTTGTCGTGGGGGTGTTGGAACGTAACCCCCGAGATCGAGGGGGAATCACTCTAACTGAAAATTATAGGCGCTGGATAGACCAAGTCGGGGTGAATGCAACACGAAATACCCGACTTGGACGGCCTCATGCGCAAGAAAGAAGGTGGAGATAAGAAATGTCCTGTATATTTACTGGACGTGCATTTAAGGAAGGCCGGCAACTTACGGACGCAACCGGTATGAAAGGATTTCGCGCATCGGAGAGGAGACTGGTGAGGCTTTCGTTGATCGTCATGGTCTTAGCTAGTGCCATAACTCCGGCCAAGTCAATCGAATTCTGCCGAATGTCCAGGAGAACCAGGGACTTTGATTCACCAAGATAGCCTGACAGGGCAAAGATACCTACGAAAACAAGTTGATGGACTAAGTAATCCACACTCCATCGCGAAAGGTCAAGATGATAATCAGTAGGCAGACAAAGAGTGTCGAAAAGCAGTTATTGATATGAACAAAAGAAAGAGTCCGCAGCCAACAACAACAGATTAGCCAGCAACGGTGACGAGGATCAGCCCACGTGAACACGAAAGACCTTTAGGAAGACTGACCGCAGCGACTAGTTAAGGTCGGCTGCAAAATGAGATGACACGCAGTGGCTAGCCGGGCACACCGCTCCGAGCTACACGCATCGTTAGATATTACTGGCTCGATCGTCGTTACCGACGATGTCCCCGCATGCTCTACAGCGAGGTGAAGCAGGCACGGGGACTTGCGCGTGAATGTGGCTTATAGTGATAGTGGACTTGAGCAGCATCTACTGCACTTTCTCCTCCCCCCTCCCCTGGGCCCGGTGTCAAGACAGAGTCAAGAAGACCGGCGGGAGAGGGCGCAGGTGGATGGCACGGTCAAGCCCGCACCTTGGCGTTTCACTCCGCAACCCCCGGTCCACACAGCAAATGACCGGGATTTTAACCAGCAACAAAAATGGGGGCGGAAAATGTCCCAATGTGCGCGACGGCTGCCGGCAACTGAGTCTGTCATCGCAATCCGAAATATCGGCATTTGTTATGGTGTGCATTCCGATAACGCCTGCCAGAATCCGATATGGTCCCCACGTTGGTCCAGCGCATCTACCACGTGGCCCATTCAGAGGGCAAATATTACTGGTTAGAACTCTCAACAAGAATCAAAATCGAAGACATTATAATGGCCTGAATGAGGAGTCGTTGCAACTTCGCCTTCAACAGCAGAACAGTTGACAAAGCCTCAGAAGAACCGTGCAATACGGTAACACGTGAATTGAACCATAGTAAGGAATACTTGGGCAACGTCGTACTCAACACTTCAATCCGGATCTCATCGGACTGCAGCAAGAATGAGGCATGACAAATCGAGATGAAAATGGGCGCAATGATCGATCTGAAATTCTGCTTTGATCTATTTCATTGGCTCATTTGCCGCCGAATCCAACTTTGTACAATCCAGTTCTCATTCACGTCAGGGAGTCCCTCTGCGGTAACCCCTCAATTTATGATTTCTATGGCTCAGCAACCAACTACTGACGGATAGACTGACCTGATTCTACCACACTACACAAGCTTGCAGCTGAAACAATCAGCGAACTAATGAGATACCGGCCTCGGGTTAGATGCGCTGAGTGGAAACTACCGTGTTAACTGAGGTTTCATCATAGCATCACGGGCTATGTCCTTAAATATCCATCCGGGTATTCCTGGGTGATAGTTAACACTGCGAAAAATGCGGCTTCTTGAAATCCGATCTGATCTTACTTCTAAGGACCCCAGCAGGAAGGAATGTATGGTCCTATCAGGCAAACTGGTGTCAGACTGGGGGGATTTGTTACAAGATTCGACCTCAAGGACATCGACATTAAAGCAGCAGGCATTCAAAGAATGCCAATACTCCATCCGGTGTTGATGAGAACTAAAGGTACTGACCAAAGATCAATTGGGCATTGGAGTGGGCGTGATGGCAGAACTAAGGGAAAGCCACAAAAGCAGGCCGTACAAGGCTCTAGATTCCTCTGACTGTACTCGACATCTAACCAGATTTCCAATCCAAGATTGGAATCCTTAGGAATATCCTAACCCAATCATCTAAAACTGGCCTAAGCCAGCAAAGCTGCGGTTTATGGCAACCGCAGGGCCAGTGACTTCGGCCGAGGCGTGACGACCGAGACAGTAGGCGTACTTCACCCCTGACGATCATGCCCAAGTCCCGTTTAGAAGCCGATGCAGGCAATCGTCGGTAGGAGACATGCATCCTGTGCAGAAGGGGTGATGTTCCATCTCTGAGAGCAGGCCTGGCGCTGCGCAAGTGAGCGGAAGTTTGACAGCAAGTAAACATGCCAGCTTCGGCCGATGGACTCGTGTTTGCACTTTCGTGAGTTGCAATTCGCATTAGGGTCTGTGCTGCATGTGAAAGGAGTGGCTGGCGAAGAGTGTAAAGTCGAGGTGAGAAACGAGACCGCTGAGAGTATAAGCACTTAAGATACAGCGTCGGGTCGCAAAAAACGTTCGCCGGGTGTTCATGCCATTGCGTCATCTGAGCCCATTCTTGCGTCGACAGCATGATCACATGGCCGAGTGAAGTAAGCGTCGAGCTTACAATGTACACCACAGTATTGGTTGGACGCAAAAAGTGCCCCCGTAGAGTGCAACACGGTCAGGAATCTGTAAACAGGACGTCAAAAAGACGGAATATTCCGCGTAAAAATAGAGGAAGGTGCCAATAATTTGCAAGCCTGCTGCGTCAGCACAAAAAACCTAGCAGTCATCGAGGTCACTATAAGGAAAAAGCCTCAAACTCGCGAGCAATGGGCTCAGATGCGGGTATAAAATTTATGCCCAAAATACGCGTATTCGCTATGGGACAGGTTTTCGAGATATTTTCATGGCCGACGAGTCTGTGACAACTCCGCCGGTATGGCAACCAGCGTGAATTGACGGCGGACTCTTAGTGCGATTTCTCCTTGTCGCAGATTTTCCTGCCCTGGCAGTTTTCTTTTGTGTATGAGCTGCTCAAAATAAGTGTTTGAAGTAATAGTCTTAACGCCCTTTAATGCCAACATTAGTGAAAACAGCAAACTGTGGAGTCAGTTATGATGAACATAAATATCATCGGATGGAAGCAAATATGCGAATCCCAGGTTCTTGTTGTAAAGATTAACACACGATCTCAGGGACAGAAGGTGTATCAGTCTGAGCTTTCGGTCTCGTACAGGAGGCCATCGTCAGAGACTGTTGGAGGCCTGGGTGTCTGACACCAACTCTATCAACAGACACGTTGACATACCCCCTGCTATCACGCGCTCCGTTCCCGCGGCCAAGAGGCGAGACCCACTTTTCAGCCAAGGCTGTACACTGTCACGCCGCCGTAAGACGGCGTGGGACTCAGCTTATCGCGAATACCGCCCTCTGCACTCATATCCCCCCTTCATCGCTTGACTATAAAAACTGCTCATTTGATGTCGCATTTTCCCAGCCTCTGACGGTGGCCTCCTGTACGAGACCGAAAGCTCAGGCTAATACACCTTCTGTCTCAGAGATCGTGTGTTCATCTTCTTTACATAAATATCCTCTTCAGTGATTCCCATCCCAACTACAACTTAGAGAGCGAAAGGCAAAAGAGCAAGTGAACACACCTCCAAATCCCATTCTCACATTCCGCAGGATCAGCTCACGAAGAGTGCAATTTTTTATCAAACCCTCACACAACACCTCTACACCCTCGTCTCCGAGGCCCGGATTGTTACTGAGATCGAGATGCGTAAGGCCGCCAATGAGGGGTGCCATGCGCTCGGTAGACTGGGCGACCACGTGGGCCAGGTCTCGAGCGGAGAGAGGTGTTAGACCGTTATCTGAGAGACAGAGCCGCTCCAATCCGCGGACACTGGGGAGTGCACAAGATGGAGGCAGTTTCAGGCGGACCGATGGCTTCGATGACTCTCCTTCCGTGCCCGCACTCCCGTCAGTCGGTTCTGTGTCTTCCGTGGCGGGTGATTTTGGTGGTTTGGAGGTCTTCTTGCCCTCAGTCGCTTCAGCAATTGCAGCGGTGGCAACCTCTAGGCGGCGTTGCTGCATTCGATACGCCTGCAGGAGACCGGTGCAGAGAATGTTGACACCTTCGTCCTGTGCGGTGGTGTAAGAGAAATGGGATGTATCAAGAAAGGACACGTAATATGCACCCATGCGTCTATAAAAACGCTGGCGAATGAAATGGATCTCAAAACAGTGAAGAGGGTGCCAGAGATCGCAGCATGTAGCTGCACCTGTAACACATGGACAGGGGGGGGGGGGCGTGACAGTGTATCCTCAGAGGACAAACCAATATCTTTTCACGCCGTCTCTTTGTTCAGCTCTTACCCAAGAGAAATAGTCAGGAGGGCAGGTAGGGAGAATTCGCAGTAAGAAGAAACTCAAATATACGTGCCGCGAGATCCTGTCTATAAATAAGCACTCGTCAGTTAATGCTTAGATCCACAAGGTAATCCCAAGCTGAAAGACGGTGCCTGTTGTCTACGCAAAAGTGGCATTCATGTGAATGACTCATTTTATTTATTCAAGTGATGAAATGAAAATAAAAAAACACTGCACTTCTGCACCTCGAAATTCCCTCATATAAATAGGTACCTTTTGTCGACACCATTACCCACGCGGTGAAACTGCTCAAATTTTAACGAACGAGGCAGATACACAAATCGCACTTATTAAAGTACACTTTTACAGATGTGACGTCACCGAGATTGTTGATATGAATTGCTGAAACTATATCCTCCTGAGTAAATTGATAAAAAAGGGAAAGAGCGAACGGCACGTTCATGTATGCACGGCAAACTTCAATAGGGTAATTCGAATTCTTGGAGTATGCAGTAAGATTAGAACACTTTCACTGACATAATCAAGCAGGTTAGTACTTTCTGTAAAACGTAAACTGGTGGCGGCTGGAAGTTATAAATACCTTGCTTTACCTGTGCGGACTCATAAATGTGGACTTTTTTCCGTGTGCAATTCATTTCAATAGAAAAAAAAGAGATTGATCAATCACCGTTTACCCATAAGCACAGGTAAGTTGATATATTTGTCACGTTCTTCACCGCACGGGTTAATAATCCATAAAAATGCCTGATACTCTACGTTGGCGGTGCAACTGTCTGCTTGTTGTACATTTTTTTAAATTGTGTATGTGAATTTCCTGCAGAAATGCATCGTTCTCGCGACTGGCATGGCTCTATAGGTACACTAGTTCCTGCTTCACACGAATCTTAACTCTACATTTCCAGGAATCAAGTTCACTTTTGAAACAGAGGTTGATGGACGGGTTCCATTTCCGAAAAACTGGTGGATCCCTTCACACTTCAGTTTATCGCAAAGAAACATATTCAGAGATCATCCTACATTTTAAGACTGACCATCCCGTCTTTCACAAGAGGAGTATCGTCTATAGCCTACTAAAGCGAGCTAAAACACACTGCTCTGATAAAGAAAGTTATCAAGCAGAAATGAAATACCTCTTCAAATTATTTTCCCATAACGTGAACCTTCGCGGCTTTGTACGTCATTGCATGCAATATGGGTTTAAACAGAGAGGTATTTCGAAAACTACGACCACCGAGGCACCAAAAACATTCACCTGGCAGACTCCCCTATACGTGAAAAATGTATCTGAGCTCGTCGAAAGACAACCGAAGGAGCATCAGATAAACATAGCACACCAACCTGCAACCATCTTGCGTACACAGTTTGTACACCCTAAGGACAGGGTTGGCTATCTCGATTGAAAAGGTGTTGTCTACAACATCCCATGTTCCCGTTATGGCTATACACACAGTGGACACTGGACCTGCTGGTCTACTAACTTATGAGTCAGATTTCACTAACTCTTAAGTCCGACGGCGGGAGCTGGTACGGAGCCGTAATAACCTGACCCTACGTCCAGATAACTATGTTATCTCCTCAGCCATCAGCTTTCCGCCAGTGAATTTTGGCAGCAGTGTAGGAAAATCTCCGAAATAAAACCGAACGCGGCAAGTTAGTGGGTGAAAGTTGGAAAAGTCTACTGGTTTATGCTATCCACAAGGTCAAGAGAGAAGCGTGTCGCCCTACCCGAAAGTTGTTTTGAGCAAGATTAAGTTCAACCAGATATCCGCTGCCTCCAATAGGTCGATTTTCAACTTGGAAATCATCGGGTGAATCGTCAGTCAAACCATTGCGTGCTTTACAGGGTGTTGGTGGACCAGGAAGAATGACCAGTTGGTGACGAATCAATGAAAGCAAGGTCTCCGCGTCGACAGAGGTTATCCGGTTCTCGGGCAGATGGAGACTAAGGGCCCACAGTCCGGGAACTTGTGGGCCGCGGAGAGAGAGGCGGGGATAGCGACGAGAACCGTTGCGAACGGGCTTCTGTGAGCCCTCGGCGGTGGCGACTCGATCACCTGAGCGGGTGCCCAGGAAGGCAGATGAGGACTCAGTTAGTGTCATAAGGTAGCGCAACCACCGGACAAGTTCGAAGAGTACGGCTCCGGAGAGGTTGCAGTCGCGGAAGCATATTTTCTCTAGGGAGAGACCCGACAAGTTGAGTCCCATAAAGTGATGCACGGCAAGAGGCGTGTGCGAGAGTTTGAAGAAGCGCAGAGCGGAGGACTGCAAATGCCAAAGGAACGGAGACAAAAGGCGGTAAAGAGGATTTAAAAGGCTCACATGCAGATGGTACAGGTGAAAGGATAAAAGAACTGACCTTCCGAAGGAAAGCAACACAGCGTTGCCACGCGGTGCTTGGAAGCGTCCGATCAACGGAAAAGGTGATTGACAAGTCGATACAGGATTCGTAGTATAGCATGATATCGAACAGTGCGGTGGCCGACTACAGAGAAGAAGGTAAATATGAAAGTCTACGGTTTATATTAGCATCATAAGGATAAAGGTCGCCCAAAGACAGCAGCGGCCCTTAAAACAACTAGAATTACTTGCAGTAAGCGTGCCTTCCGACCAAAAACCAGAACTTCACGAATGTTTTTTCGCAAAAGTTGAAAAAAGACGATTCAAAATACAGATGGTTACGGTCGATTCTTATCAGACCCGTATAGTCTTTCTCAGATAGTATCTGGGTTAGTTTCAAAATGGGGTTGGTAATTCCTTGGGTTTTTATGATTCTGAAAGCCTTTGACCATGGACGGCGAAGATATGGGCTAAAGTGTCATGGCGCTAGACCGCCCGCGGGTCTTCGGTAGTTTAGTTGGCAGAGGCAGAAACTGCAATCTGGACGCAATTTTTGTGTGCGGAAAACAGGGCTGACTGGGGGGCTTAACGTCGACTCCAACGTGACTGGTAGGCACTGCCATGATGACGTCAGATAATGCCGTGGAGCTCTACTGACCACATGGAAGGCCTCATTGGCGTCCACCAGGTGGCTGATGTCTGCTAGGCGGGCAGGAAGAGAACTCTTGAGTGTCCATGATGCACTATTTCTCAAGCCATGCCGACATAAGCTCTCGTGTTTTTTTTAGAAGAGCGCTAACTCTTACGGCCTGTGAGCCCGCTTTAAAGATGCGACGCGATGGAGAAAGCACAAACACGAGGTCGTTTGAGCTGACAGTTGCGTTTTTTGTCCTCAGTAATTGTAGGGTGCAGTGCTCCGACTTAAGCGGCAGGAAAAGCGTGTGAACAGGTCTGGACCAACCATCCCCTTTTAGTCAGCTGGGTTCATCGCCTTGAGAATGCCTATTGACGAAGAACCTCACAACACTGGCTTTTTTGCTTCCCTCAGCAAAAACTTACAGTTTTGAGCAGTGTTGGGTAGCCGTTTTCCCTTAACATGCCTTGGGTTATTTCTATTTCCTTTTGGATGCGATCTGGTGAGCAGATTCTCCGGACTCTGCTGACCAAACAACTAGCACAGTTACGTTTCTCGCTGAGTAATAAAACGTAGCGAAGTTGTAGCACGGTATCGACCAAGCTTTCCTCCTATGCATACTTCTGATCGCTTTGTCTGCCCGCTTAATAGGTCGATTTTCAATGCCCTGTCCCCGGAATGAATTCCACTGACGGACTTGGACGATTATATAAAGTATAGTGCAAGAGTCGGCTTCAGCGGGTGCGATCTTGAACATAGCATATACGTAAAGACCAGTTAAACGAGCAGGAGGAAGGACAAGACGCCAGCCCAGACGACCTCTACGGACACTTACTCTGTCGCCCACCTCTGCGTAGCAGGTTAAAACTGACCAGTCCAGTTCTTATTTTGTATCACCTACTGGCCACACTACTGTACTGAATCATATGTGTTGGCAGATAGGAAATAAACTTGAAAAGCCACTTTTTCCCCAATGAAGATCCTTAGATAAAGTGGGTCAGCTTGGTTTGTTCGAGTGCATTATCTTCGCATGCCAAGAAAAAAAATGGGAGGACGGATTCTTGGTGGTACTTGTGACTAACACATAAAGGTGTCAAGCGAACAGGGTCCAAGGGTCACACGAAGCGACTACCTGGAGGCCAGGACTAAAGAGAAAAAATGCAGTAACTTCGACAGGATGTACGACACGTCTCGGACTCCATAGGCGGACACACGGCAATGCGCAGTCAGGCAGGAGGACTGGCACCGAAGCCGTAGAGGCGCAGGCTGAAGAAGGCGACCAATGAGCGAGGAGTGGTACGAGACTTTTCGTAAGAAATTCCCCGATGCTGCAGTGACAGCCGACTGCGCGTGCGTAAAAGGTTGGTTATTTCTCCAGTTCGTCGGTCTCCAGACGCATAGGGAATATACATTCGAGCAAAGAGCTGGGGAGGGCGACAGGTGGGTGAAGACCCAAAAGTGGGCGAACGTTGCGGGCGGGGTGAGGGTTGCAGGAGTGGGAGCTCACACGCTCGTGTGCGTACACAAACACGCAAGCAGACAACTTCAGCTAGGCCACGGCGGTCTGTAAGTCAGTAAAGCCTCAAAATCGCAAACTGCCTTTTCAAACTGTAGTGAGCGGGTCACAGGAATAGGACGAGGTTCCAGAGTTCTTGAGTTTTGACAGGGCATCCTATTGAGTTGAAAATGTTTACTTGGAGGATGTATTTGGTGCCTATTTTGAAAACTACGACACGGAAGAAGCGGTGACAGTCAGATGGCTAATATAATTCGCAGGTGTGTGCGTTTTGCGGCGTCAGACCTAACTGCTACGATGTACAGTAAATTGCGGTTTTGAGGGAGAATCCAGTCTCCCACCAAGCACAGATTACTTACTCGTTAAAAGACTGCGCTGCAAGCTGAATCACGTTCCGAATAAGCACCTCACATTGCGTTCGATAGAGGGCAGAACCCCAGGTAGAGATTTAGCTTTTTCGTGAGCTAGCCGTCTACGTTTTCAGAAGTTGACCAGGAAATGAGCCCGCGATCCGTTTCATTACTTCCACGCAGGCTATATGAGGGCCAGTCCGACTCTGTCACGAGTGAATACCGAGCCTGGAGGAAATTACATTTTGGATGAGTCTGCGAGAATTGAATGTACAGGTTTCTTTCCCTGCGGATTGCACAGATACCCGCTGGGAACGCGACAGGAGGCAAATTCTGACAATACAACATACGCGGAAAAGACCGAACACTTACAGGCGGAAGATGTCATTTAAGAGTGTACAGGCCCTCTTTCCTATGTAAACAGAACGTTCTGACGAGAGGTTTCGAGACCATCATATTGGCCTCTTGGCTAATATCGTGCCTCTTGTACAGGCTTCCATCATTTTAAAAGAGAAGCCTTGAGCGCATAGTTTATGCGATGCTCGATTTGATTTTTAAGCAGAAAATGCACTCTAAGATAGCGGATGCTGCAAGCTAACATCAGAACATCGCGCAGGCATCAGCAAGTGCGGAACCCCTCCAGAATTTACAGAAATTTATTATTCAGTAGAAGTTGGCTGCTTTAGCGCGTACCAGGGAAACAACTCGCTGCATGTCTGCAGCGCGGAACGCCAACACTGCCTCCGAGGGTTCTCGATACTTAAACTGTCTCCAGCGAAGGCCGGCTGTGAAATAAGTTGGTTCTGCTATCTGTCCAAAATACAGTCAACATGCCGTGCAACGACAACACCTTCAGGCATGGCTAGGCCCCGACCTGTCAGATGCGTTGCCTTCAGAAGCCAGTGGCCACAGCGGTATTACCATATGGTAGGTGTTTTCCATGATCTAATAACGCTTCATCTGCAGTACGGCACAATCCCAGAAACTGGGGCTTGTGTGTTGGAGGGTTGGATGCAGACGTCCACTGCCCAAATTCGAGTATTACAGGAAACCGTCCCTCGGCTAAACCGACTCACGCAATTTTGCCTGGCGAGCCATAGCTTGGCTGGATCGCCAGGGGCCCAAGGTGCCTGGGAGGGCAACTTCCTGTCCAAAAAGGACAGCACTGTGACGTTATCGACATAGTCAAGACCCAAAACCCACAGCGATTCCTCGGTGGTCTGCCAGAGCCAGTTGATAAGAATTCAGTCTGACACATCACTGAGTTGAATTAGATGAAGAAGAGCTTAATGGACGTCAGAACTAAAATGGAAGAAATCACTTTTGTCGTCATTCGCAGGAACACTGGTCTGATTCTGAGATAAGAGACCTACAAAAGGCGTAAAACCTTCGGCCACGATCAACTACAGGAAGTTCCAACGTAGAAAGTTCAATGCAGGGGGTGATACTACTAGCCAAAATAACTGATCCACAGACAGCTAAAGGAAGCGTAATGGCTACTCAATCAGAGCAAGCGGGAACAGACAACGATGACGAATGAAAAACCCATCGGACGACTGGCATTACGATTGTTTTTACACAGAGGACTTTTATCTTCCCAGAAGGTAAGTACGACAACAGTACGCCCGAGTCTGAGAGAACGGGTCCATTCTCAGATCAGGTGGCAGGTATAGTCAGCCAGCCAAATTCGGCCAAACAACATCCGCAAATTTCCGCGAAAAGCCCCTCCCTCCACTGAGCATTGGAGTTATGCCATATTGTAAAGAGTCGTGCTAACCATGGTCGCGGGTTTAACTAGGAGTGGGGATGGCCGTCGGAAAGAAAGTGATTGTACTGGGTAAATGCGCCGAGGAAATGTTCCCTCAATCGGGGACTTTTTGTCACGCAGGAAAGCTATACCCACATCTAAGCAACTCCCGGAGAACCGGCTCATGTTCAAAGTATGTTACAGCTCCCTACTAGTGTCCTTACATTAAACGCCTTCCAGCTCTGAGTTCTACTGCTGAATTTGTTGTAGCCGTTGTGCAGAGCATGGCGTCTGATGTGAGGATTCGTAAAAGACGGGCATGCGTGGCGCTATCAGCCGACCTATTTAAAAATGTAATAAATTCTTCTTTTATGGAAACTTACCGCACTCAAACTAGTGGGTATAAAGAATACCGAAACTGCACCTTTGAGAAATCGCCGTTGGCGAACTTGTTCCACTTGGTCTGCTTAGACGTTTAATAACTCCAGTTTTATCAAGTTTGCGGGAACGTTACGTACTTCCTTTAGCTAAACTACAGCACATAACCTATATCCTGAAACCTGATGACAGAAACTGACACAATAATTTTTTGATGTCCTAAAGGTTGCGCATTTTGCTCGCTTGTCTGGCCTCTTCAATGAAATGTCCTTTTCTTGCGCGGAAGATGTGTCCATGTGACCTGATCAAGCAAAATGTTCATAAATTTGAGACAGAAAATAGACGTTGCGATATATTCGGGCAATTTCCTACGTTAATGGACTTCTTAAACTGCAGGTGAGCATCTGAGCGTGTCTTTCGTTGAGATAAGAGTAATTTACTCTTGAGAGCTTTATCGATCAGAGCTTCCCGCACTTGACAATTGCAAACCGTCGGAATCAGTTTGCTAACACACAGTCTATCTTTAGACAACCATACGGTTCATCGATTTTGAGAAGTCAGATCACCAGATCGGTGCGATTCCGTGCCCTCGAATGCAGTAATAATGCACACAGGCAATCATTCGTTTAAATGGGCCGACATTGGTCTGCCGTTTGGAGAATTATAGCACTATCACCGAATAGTTATTTTCAGGTTTGAACATATGGAGCATCATTTTTCGTAATTTAGAAATGGAACGAGCAAAACACTAACAGTTTCAGCAAAACATCAGTATTTATATGGCCACTCCGCAGAGCACTCATGATAGTAGAACGCAGCCTAAAAGTGAGCAAAGAGAGCGAAAATGAACGCAATATAAAGAGAAAGGCGTGCTTTTACGGTTGCAGTGGAAAAATATCACTATTTCTAGCAATGTGAAGGAAACGGTCAAAAGTGTCAAATTCTTCCTTGGCTTCACCGAGTAAAAAAATTAAGTACGCAGACATCCGTCAACGGTATGCAGTAATAAGACACTCCCTAAAAAGGCAACTTATTACAGAAAGCTTTCTAATTGGTCGAAAGCATATCCGCGGCAAACTTGTTGTGGGCGTTGACTTTATTCGACGATGACGTTTCATGTTTCGGTTAGTTTTCAAATGGGACCCAAATGACTTTCTACATGAAGAAGAACGCCTAGACACTCGCTACATCGACAGATGCCTTCAAGAAGCATCTCGCTTTAAGGGTTTTAACAAACACATAATACAGAATCTGTCTGTATGGCCAGTCCGTTGAAAGCACTGAAAATCATGAAGTATTCAGCGACACTCCAAGGCTGGTTTGAAACTCAACGTAAACCAACGCAAACGAAAGGTGAAAATTAATTTTACGGAAGAAAATGCCTCGTTATATCCACAAAATGGTATGTTTACGATTGCACCTGTCACTGACTTGCCTGGTTACATATGCCCTTATGAAAACGTTTGTTTCTCTGACGTCCTAACCGGTGAAATCGAGCGAAAACCTGTTTGCCCTATTGAACCGTATCTCAATCAATTCAAAGGCGTACAGAATACCACGAATCCTTGCGAATTAGTTTTGGAATCTATACTCAGAGCGTAGGCTTTTGGCAAACCGCCATACCTGAAATCACACTGATTCCTAAAGGATATTTAGATGTTAACTTCAATAAAAGATTATTTTCAAAGGTTATTCTATTTGTACCATCTTATTTACTCAGTGTTTTGTATGGACAGGCTTTCTGTACATCGAAAACTGCAGTTTACACAATTACAATCATTTTCGAGGTCTTCGGGACTTTCGCTTTTCTGAAAAACTCCGGATTTATAAACAAGGCAACATTATTTTTAACAATTCTTTTATGTCTCTAATTCTCTTAAGTTGTTGTATATTAACATAGATAATGGTTACACGCACTGGTGTCGGTTTGCGAGTGATTAGCAACCACTCGTTAATTTCGACACTTTCCATGAGTTGGGTCACTAACTTTATGTGAGCTAACGGGAAATCCTAAGCGTTTAGAATACGAAGCCACGATTATAATTTGCAGAGTAATAACTGAAAACATGATTGCGAACAGCCACTATTTGACTGCAAATGCGTAGGTCCTTGGTGCCCTAACGGCCACGTTGTGCGACTATCAATCATTCGGCCTTCGACCTAGGGGTGATACTACTTAAATATGGGAGATTTCGCACGAGTTTACACTGTAGTTTATGGTTCCCCTAGAATGGAACTTAGACAGAAAAAAAATTCAACGTCCAGAGATCGTCCAGCATGCGTCCGGCCACCGTGCGAGTGTCGTCCGCATGCAGTAAACAACTACTAACCGGTTCATCGAGATAAGCTTCCTCAAGATCGATCTCCCTGAAGTGTACACGTCGAAATACCTCTTCCAGCGTCTCCACTTGCAGACGGCTAAAGCGTACACCTAAAGCAAAAAAGGACTGCGTATGTATGAGTTGGCAAAATTATGCTAACGCAATGGCCGTTAGGCGCCACCATGTTTGCGTCGCCATCTAGCTCGCTCGTCTCTCTAGATGTGCGAGATCAAGCTATGCATAAATGCGTTTGTGCCGCTGACCCCCTCGAATGGAGCAATTTATGCGTGTTTTGAGAGCAGCCTACAGACGGGCGGCCATTGGTCGCTACAAGGTCAGAAAAGACAGGCAGCCTAAACGAAGCAATTAGAGTGCGCCGGCGCGACTTAGCACATGACTCGGATATTGCTGTTGTGTGAAAGACGTCGTGGGCGAAAAGCTCAAGTGAGGTTGATGAAAAAGTGCCTGCGTAGACGCGCTAACGACGCAGAGTGCAGTCCGGTCATGAAACTCACGCAAACAAGAGGAGACATTCGTTAGAAGATAACACAAGGCTGTCCAAAGTATGCCACCGAATACCAAGGTAAAGGTGAGATATCACCGACGATTTTACGGAAGTAACTGCAGCCTGTTGTAATGGCTGATAGGAAGTCGAGTCGATGACAAGACGCGTCTTCGACGAAACATCTACCAAGCAGTGTCTACTTGACCACACTAAACAGCGGTGTAGGGTTCTCTGCATACTTCATTCATTTCATAGCCTAGGCGCCTATATTTCGTTACTTTGGGGGTGAGGTTAGAGCAAATAACTAAGAAGCTGTTCAGGGTTAATAGAAAGCTCAACTGACTAAACGCAGATCATGTAGTCTAATAATCCGTCTTCCCGACTGCGTATAAGAATTCCTCAGAAGCATGCAACTGCTCATTGTTGCACTGGTACGTGCTCGCACTACGCCTGATGCACGAGGTGCATTGGACTCCCTAAACTTCGGCACACCATCAGCTAAAGTAGTTCTGGAACGCTGCAACAAGGATAGTAGTTTTAGTCCTGTTTGTGTTACGCATGATGATGGCTGGCAGTCCAAACATTTCAAAATCGAAATTTTGGTGATTATGATTCCGAGAGATGCGGAAAGCAGAGAACGATGGAACTGTAAGGGACATGCAACCGATGCTCCACAGGCGACAGCATACTACATTGGCATCGGTTGGTACTGCGCGCACACGAAGAGCTTCTGCAGACTCTGTGTGTGCCATGGTTCGAAGCTGATAACGGTCCACAGCGATCTGATTCCGGAAACGGCCTAACCGCCAGACGACGGCCGATGAAATGTGACGACAATAGCCCACCAGCTGTTTCTCGACCGCTAATAAAATAATGAAATGCATCGCTTTTATTGGGCTTAAATGGCTCAAATAGCCGGCAGTTAATCAAAAAACGTACCCTTAAGGCTGAGTCGGCTATAGCGCTCATTGCAGATTGACAGGTCGATCCCCTGGGAGGATGAAAGAAAGAGAAATCGATAAACCAGTGAGGAATGCAGGCGCTCATTAATATACCGTGGGACTGAACTATAAACTTGGTCAGTGAAAAGGGCGCAGAAATACGGATATGACAGTTAATTTCAGGACTGCTGAGGGCAGTTCCGTCAGTTCGGGGAGTGGAGAAAGACAACGTAAACGACAGGTTGATCAACGGAATTCAGTTTAAAACCACAAGTGGCATAATGACTGGAATGCAATCACACTGAACACTGGGGCTGTTTGGATAGTTTTCACATGTTAATAGTGTAGTTAGTATCGGCACACCTGGTGCGATAAAGTATGGCCTACACAGTACAGAGTACGATGGGTAAAAAAGAAGGCGAAAGTACTATAATTAAGCTGAGAGGGGTCACGTCTTTAGACTGCCAGCGGGACTTTGTCGGCCAGTGGTAGTGGTTCCGCGGAACAGAAATTAGTTAGCATCCTAACAGAGAACGTGACGGTTATGCAGTGCGTCCCTACAACCGATTCTGCCGTTGCCTAGGTAACTAGTGGCTTGGGTGTGGAAAAAGAACAACGATCATCACTTGATGCACTTGTAAATACTGATGTAACAATGCCTGAGAACAGGTTTGCTCACAAACAGACCGAGAAAAAGGCAAAGCCGATCGAACTTTTGTGTGGGTCGTAAAACTTGCAAGTAGTTAACTTTACAATAAAACCTGAATAATCCATGTATATCGATGGCGGGACTTGCCTTTAACTGTTCCAAGAGAAAGTCAATTGGGGCCACCTTATAGTACTTACAAGAAGCGATGTACGCAGAAATCAGTTCATCACTAGTGCAGTTGTCAGAAGCTAAAAATGGGGATGTTCAACGAAACAGTTAAGGGGAATAAAATCAAACGATAAAAATAATCATAAAATTGTAACGTGATTGTGGTCAGATTTGCAAAAAATGCATTAGAACACGTAAGTGATAAGGCCAGAAGGCAAAACTTTTAGAACAGCTCAGAAGCTGTCACAATGTGGGAAAGTGTTTTTTTTCAATTTACAGAAAATACCGCTTAACCACATCTGCTGGCTACCGGCCCAGAAGGCTGAAAAGTTATGGGAGGCATAGCACGAGGCTTTAGGCTGGCAAGTGTACAAAAAGGCACGTTTCTCAAACATGCAATCAAATCAGGTGCTATGTACCGAAATCATTGATTGGGTGTGCAGTACCGTCGGTGAAATCAAATGCTTTCGGTGGATCAATCGTCTCCATAGGAGATATACTGGTAGTGGTTATTTTGAGGTAGGTTCAGCTTAGGATGTCGGTCACTGAAGCCAGCAATTTAGGATCTCAAATTTGCTGAACAAAGCGTAAAAAACCAAAACAATGCAGCCCAATGGCATAAGGTGTCGCACTTATTGGTACTCTGCATAAAAAGAGACGTAAATATGTTAACAGTTGATAGCCTACTAGGTACAAAGGGATCCAAGTAGCCAACAACTAGAGAATCGTCTTCGGGAAAGCGGACATGCCGCTTAGACTTTGACGATGGCTGCGCATCAACTGGGGGATTTTCGTTGTGGATGTCAGAGGCATTCCATTGGTCGGCAGGCATGGGAGGTGAAATTGGCGTTTTTTCAGTCGCATTTGCAATGTCTGTGGACATCAATGAGCCTAAATGGACGGAAGAAAATATTACTATTTGCTCCTTGTATGTTGTAAGGACTACTTAGTGGCAAAATAAGATATAAGCTGATGCTCTTCCAGCAGCCGTATGCATACTGTGTTTCAAAAAAGCAGAATGTGAGGAGGGACTTGCCCCTTTCTACGGGTACTTGATATAATATGATATCTAATTGCGGCCGACCTACGTAGTTAACAACTATAAATTATGCTGCGAAGGAGGTTAAGAATAATGTATATTCTGACATGTAAGATAATAGTTAGGCAGAAAATATGATAAAGCAGCTTCGCAAGGGACGTCCAGATACTGTACCCAATCCTGAAGTCGCATGACATCTGAATCAGCGATGGTCTATCAATGCGGTCGAATAGTGGAAATGTGCAAATCCTTAGAGAGCAGATAATGTTGGCGGCGAAAGTTCCGTTGAAGGAATTAATCCAAAAACTATACTAACATTTGACCGGTGGCGGGACTTCAACTTTATTGAAGAATAAGTCGTGAAAACATGAGGTGCCTCCATGTTGTGGTTCTGTATTAAAATTGTCCAGTTAATTATACAGATTGCACCGCAATGCTCTGCAGAACGTTTGGTTGCAGACTTCGGTGTTACCATTTCTAGATGGTCCACTCGCTTCTTAATCGGAACTCATAAACGCGATTTACCAAAGTCACCAAACAAGCGCAGGGAGGCACTTTTTCACTTTGACCCAACTGCGAAAAACTCGGTGCCTCGGTATGATTCGAACCCACGACAGCAAGGGGGGGCTCAGTACAGCCAACGCTCTAACCATCTGAGTTACGAGGCTCCACCGGACGACGCCAGTTTAATCACATTCGGGTTACGTTTAGCCGCCCAACCTACTGCAACGTCTGGAATCCACCAAATCTGATAGAGTAAGCTGACTGCCCAAGCAGGATTTCCTAAGTAACATACCAAAAATCCACCAGATGACTACCAGGCTAACGTAATTCAGGTGTTTTGGCAGATTCCAAATAATTCACTTTGACCCAACTGTGAAAAACTCGGTTGGCTGTACTGAAGCCTCCCCTCGCTGTCGCGGGTTCGAATCCCACCGAGGCACCGAGTTTTTCACAGCTGGGTCAAAGTTAATTATTTGAAATCTGCCAAAACACCTCTGGATGCACTTTTTGTTAGTTAAGATAAGTAGCAACGTAAGTGGAGTGTCTATTTCTGTAATTTGACGAACTGACCTCGCCTGTACTTCAAATGATGTACCATTATATCTCTTGTGCAAGAAGACAGCAATAAATACTGACAAAAAACAGTGGAACGATGGGTTTCAAGAACGACGCGTGGAAGTACCGCACTGTGAGAAACGCAATAAAATCCCGGGACAGGAAACTAGCTCATCAGACCTCTCCGACACCACCACCACCGCCGTCACTGCTGTCAAATTTCAAATTGCGGAATTGATGGACTTGGTGTGCTTATTCTCACGTTTCTGTCCGGAAATAAACTGCTTCGACGGTGACAAGTCAAGCAAATGACCCAATAAAGGAGATCTCACAATACTAAACTGACTGGAACTCTTTCAGGGGGTAGTAAAATATAGCAAAAGCAGCAGGCCTAGTTTGTTGTTGCTAGTAGACAATCTGAGAACAGTAATCAAATAGATAAATCGGTATACATTTTTTCTACCGCCAGTGAAACGGGGAAGGCCGGTGAAGGCCTTTTCTATGCCAGCCATCAGCTATTAAAGTCATTGAGTTATACTTTATAAGTAAGAAAGCTAAAGGTTTACCCGACTCGCCCATGAGTACGACACAACAGTTTTGGTGGCACGTCTCAGTGAGATTTGGAAAATAAGAAGACATGAGCATGGAACTAAGGAAGCCTCGTACTTGTGGAAAATAGAGTCCTTATCTTGGAAACGCTAGAGTAAATACTGGTACTACATCGCTTCCAACAACTATATCGTGCTTGGTGGACAGCCTAAAAGGCTGGATGGGCATGAAACAATTTTCGCATACTTCAGATTATTTGAGAGGAAGATAGTTACTGATCATTAGAAATAAGAATAACTAGGATGACTATACGATTTAGGCCAATAAAAAGGCCTAACAGTAGCAGTATGATGCTTTGACAGTATCGAATGAGTCGCATGTGTCTGGTTCACTCAAAGCCCGATTTTCTTTCTACCATTCAAGTTTGTCTAAAACTTTGGCTTAAAGTAACATAAACTGCTTACTGACCCAAAAGTAACATTATCCTAACCATGGAGACGCGAAACTCAGGGCGGTTATCCTTGTTTTGGAAAATTTATTTTAGGGCTCATGTCGATTGCTCAACAACTAACGCCGATTATAGCTGCCGATCAAATTCTCTCTTTTCGGAGCTTAGGTCGGACATGGGTGCCTGTTTGTAAAATACTGCTAATATCAAGCGAAACAAGGTAAACAAAGTAGACATCAGACACGCAAGTTCCCTCGTAGCAGTCTTAGGTAGTCCGCTACATATCATTTAAATGAAGATCTTAAATCAGCTTGCGTGTTTAATGGCATCCAATTGACATTTCTTCCTCAAGAATGGAAAGTTTGTCGTTTATGGCATCCTAGCAAGCTTCAGAGGCAGTTAGTAGTTCTGGAGAATCGTTCGCGACCACCCCTATACGCTGCTGGACCAGCAAAACCCGTTGAACCCTAGACCATGGGGATTTCTGACTGATAATTCGTACTTCAAAAACGCCTGACCGCAGTGGAAACTCTAGGGATCAATGCAACAGTGTGGTGGCAGTCTTCCAGAACACCAGCAACGTCACACAACATCGACTTATCATGAAAGATCTCAGTACCTACGGCGTGTGGGAATGTGGTAACGGGCATCTGGAAAATTCCAGTCGACAGGGCAGATGTACGCACTGACGGTAGGTCTCCTGATTTACCGCCTTTCTGTGGAGTTCCATTGGCACTTGCGTAATGGAAATTGCTTTCCCTGATCCAAATCGCTGGTAAATTGTCGTTTATCACATTAACGTTTTGACTACGTTAGCTTGAGCAATTGCGTCGCGCATACCGTGAGATATTGCAATGGACGGATGGGAATTTTGGCGCCTCATGTCTGTCTCAATCTAAACATCGAAGTCCGCCGGTGCGTAGGGTCGCGAACTTGGAATATTTACTTAGGCTAGTGGACGTCACTTCAAAGCATATGTTACGATCAGGGGGTCATTATCTCAGGGCAGTGTCTAGGCGTTGTAGTCATGGCACTGAATAGTTGTCGTAAATTACACAACCTCCTTATTTCCCTAAACAGTAAGTGTTTAGTTGAGGACCAGTGTCACATTAAGTCAGTGGCACCGAGGAACTGGAAAGTGCGGAGCCAAACAACAATTAATTAATTGGCAAGGGCTTTCAGCGTTCCAGCAGAGTTAAAGCGACTGCGTTGAGACTACGGTAAACTGGAAAGATGACTGACAGGATAAGCACGCGTAAGCTCCGCGCACACTGGCATTAGGCACACAGTGAGTGTCGCACTAGCTCGATTAAAAGGCGTTCTCACGCTATCAACCGATGGAACAGGAAATCTGAAGACGTAGTTATGATCGCCATCTATTCAGCCGTTGTCGAACGGCTTCACTAGCCGTTTGAGTCAAATGTGATCTGCGAAGCCTAACACGCCATCACTATGTTCTGCAAATACAGATATGTCATAGGCGTCGTGTCAATTCCTTAAGGAGAAGCTGTCGTTATTCTCGCTGGCAATCTGCCCTCCGCGCTTTATGAAATGACAGTCCATGACCAAACAAAACAAGTGAATAGGTGGTCCCGCTTACCTATGCTAATTTGGATCTCGGGTACAACTGTTGTCTTTGTTTATTACGCACCCCTTTTGTTTGATGACTCTCGCTACCAAATAAGGCGACCAGTTTCAGTTAACCCACACCCCTAACAGACATATGTTGGGCGTTTCGACGACATATGAGGATATCCATTAGACCAAATTGTGGAAAATTTGGCGATCTCGGTAGAGTCCGAACCTACGACAGCAAAGACAGTGAATTATTCGGATCTGCTAAAACATATATATATATACTCACTAATTTTGGCAAAGTACACAGTCAAAAGTTGAGATTTAGGTATGAGTGAGAGTTTTCACGAAACTTTTGCTTCAGGGAACCGCTAGATTGCTTTGAGCGGGAAATAGATTACCCAGTTTATAGCCTTTATGGTCTACATGATCTACGATCTAAGATGGTTTTTAGTTAACTTTAAAACAAAGTTTTAAGGCCCGAGGCAATAAGAGTTCTGCGATTATTCCATTTGATGAAAAGATGTCTGTAATCTGACAAAACTCAGAAACCAACCTCCAGCGTGCAACTGTAATTACCGGTTGAGGTATGTGTGCAGATAAACTATCGCTGATATCGGCGCGGAGACAATGTGGTAAGCGTCTGTGTCAGCAAGTTCTCACTCAAATTCGCTTTGAAGATTGAACTTTGAATTCCCTACCTAGGGAATAGATGAATTTCCTTCCATACGTGTTATTATGACCGTGTCATTCAATCATGCACTGGACGCTTATTAGAAATCAAAAATAGGTCCTTGAAATTGAACGAACTATTTTATTCACTCTAATCACCCATTTTCATTTTTTAGTTTGCTGCGGCACTTTTGGTATTACCAGTTGCATTCCCCGTTCATACCATACTAGTTTATAGATAGAAAACTGATATGCGTCTTTGAGGGTCCTATATTCAAAGGAAAATGGTTTGCTATGCACAAAAAAACTTGCCGTTTGGGCTATTTCAATGGGAGCTATAAATGTATTTCAATGTGATCATTAATCTTTAAAAATGAGTCAAATCCCCTAATGTTTTTGTGGTTGGTGTTTCTTTTCCTTGCAGCAGTTTGAGTGGCTCACACATTCCGATGACTTCACAATCGCGTTAATTACTGCTGTAAAAACTCATTTTGTTGCTATTTTTGGACATGATTGCGAAGCTCAAAGACGGAAATCATATTCCATTAAGAATGTGGCTTAACTACAGTTTTCACTGGAGGGTCTAGAGCAGTCGCTTCTGTGCCTCCTTTTGCGGCGCCTCTTTGTCATCCAGTGACCGCGACAGCCGCACTAACCTATAGACGCACGGGTGACGAACAACAACCGCTCAGACCTGAGCTGTCACGTCTATTTTTCATCAACGATTAGTAGTGACTGCGCATGCAAACTTTCGGCGCCTCAAGCACTTCGAACGTTCTCTTTTGGTGTGCATGTGCCCTTGTTTTCCTGCACCCGCCCATTCCATCTCTAACCCCGCAGCCACATGCTTAGCACTCAGCTAGACATTTCCTTATGCCGACACGTACATGCTGCATCCGTGTAAACAATACACCGTGATATACGCTCTCCCGAACGGTGCCTTGAACTGGCATACAAGTAAAGTGTTCTTAGTCTGTCTAGAAAATAATATCCTTCGTAACATTATTTCACCATCAATATTTGGCGTTCAGTCTAATGTTCAAAAGTGCTAGAAATTTCCGAAAACCCCTTCCTACGCTATACTGATTGAAAAATGTTCTGTTCACAGTTAATGATTGTTGTACAAGCAGCTAGATTATAAGGTACTTAGAACGGGACTTCCCGCCCAACCACTTTTGTGAAACGTGTCAGATGCCTCTTCTAAATCTCCTTACATCTCTTCGTACTGAAAATTCTGCTGCAATTGCTACGCGTTCTGGTCTTATGAAAGGAAACTATGAATAAATCATGATGTTATAGGAATTCACAGCCCATTCATTGTGCTCATCGCGTCGCGCCACGCAAATCGGAACAAAAAGTCTTCCTAACATGGCATTTTCAAAGGACAAACTTAATATACACGACATCATCTAAGGTAGCATGTTTGGTCTTCCTATGGTTTAGCCTCACATTAATGAAATTTCCTCAGAAAAAAAGTAGGTTTGGTTTTTTCTTTATACCAATGATCTTAGGTTCGGGAGTTCTGTAAATCTTTTACCCAAACGTTCCATGAGGCAAATCCATTCTTGTTCGTTTGTTATTTCTGCGTGCAGTTCACCTTGAACAATGGAATTCTCACTTTCTTAATATCACTAAATGTGTCTTGGTCCTAGCAGGCCACCCAAACCAGTGATAGTTGAAGCTTTATTTGACTGAATGTTCCACCACCAAGGACTACGTTTCAAATCACGCCAAGGGCTCAGATCTCTCTGCGCACACCGACGCAATTACTACCAAAGCTACCCAAGCAACATGGAGGTGATGTTATCCTGGTTTGCAAGAAAAACCAAGGCTTTGAGCATGGACTTTGCTTTGAGGACATGTTTTATCCAATCTTCCCGGACAGCTGATGAAGATACGCATACGAATGTTCGTGCTGAACCTTCACTCTGAATTTTTCCAAGCCAAGGGTAGTAAAATCTGAAATGACCACCCTCAGTCAGTTGTGGAGGCTATGAACCTCCAGCAATTCAAAAAACGCTTGGATGATCAACTGTATACCGTAATATCAAGTGAACCCAGAAACAATGTTACTTAAATCCTGTGAGTGCTTTCTATTGCTGCAGTTGTCAGTTTTCGGGTACAGCGGTTTCTGACGAACTTGGATGTAATCAATATACTTTTGAAAGACATTGCCTACAATCCGTAACAAATAAACAAAAAAGACATGTGGCTTCATTTCTTGGAGTTTCTTCCTTCCTAAAATTAAACTAAGGCCTTATCACACGTTTTTCCTTCACATTCTTTAGTATTTCTACTCATTTTTATGTTTAGTGAACAAATATAATCGCTCTGAATTTGCAAGTGTCCACAGATACTTTGCTAGAAAATTCTCATGTCCGACAAACCCAAAAAACTACAAATTTCGAGTGCTGAATCCACCTATCGAATATACCTTAGCGATGGCTTTTGTCTCAGTTATAAAATCCATAATAATTCAAGTCTTGCTCAGTTTTGAGGCCCTACGTCTGTTAGTCGTCCATATAAAATTAGCAATTCTTTCTCCTCCACCTTCTTCCTCTACCTTCCAAACATAACCTCCACTAAAACAAAATTTCCGCCGATATAAGATCATCAAGTTGTCGATCTGTGTTTAAGAGAGAATGGCGACTTTATCTTAGTATCGATTCGTTAAGTTTTTTTATTGTCCTCATTCTTTCCGAGCAGCTGCTCGTGCCATCGGGAAAGGATCAGTAGAAATTTAGGTGGCTGTATCCGAATAGCCTGGTCCGTTTGCATCTTGCTGTCCTGTGTGGTTTGGTCCGTCACAGTCTTTCATTGGAAATTTCAGTACTTTTCAGTGTAGAAATCGTGACATTCTAGGGGTGCGACATGCTTTCAAACCCATTGCGCACACAAATAATGGAGGTCTTTGCAATGCACAGCTTCTAAATTGTCTCCATTACAAGGATTCCGTTCTAACCGCTGTGATATCCTGACCAAACCTCGGTTTCTGGTATTCCCCAGGCCTGCCGTAACTTCACAATCCTGAGCGCACGATAACGACGCTTTGCACTAACTTGCTGACTCCTCTTTATAGTCGCTCATGTGTCAGTACGAAGAGGCCATTCGGTGGCACTTAAAGTAACCAGTATGCGCAACTGACAACGCGGGCGTCGAACATGTCATTGGCTAGTCCATGGATTGAGTAAAGAACGCATGATTACGGGGGTTCACGTGTAATAGGTGAAGACGGTCGACACGCGTAAGATGATGCCAACTTGTGGGTGAGGTTGACACTCAACGCAGATGGTTAAGGGACGCTTCAAATCAAGTGCGATGGTGGTCGAGTGTTAGCGGCATGCTTGAAAGTGGGCATTGTCGTCGTGGCCGTTAGCTGCAAACAGGGGCCAAAGAGGTAGGCCCTGGAGCGGCCGCTACGTGTTACCATTTTTCCTTCTTTTTATAACACGATTCTTTAACTATATTGTACGCTCGCCTCCTCATACAGAGCCGAATTCCAACACTATTGCCTAAAGCATATCCCTTAATTCAATGTTAGCTTTTTCAGCCATAATGCTTCCAAAGCGTTTAGCAATAACCTACTATTACTGAGCAACCCATTTATCGGTGGGGTTTTATTTATGTCCTTGACCGATTAATTCCTCGCAGTTATCAAATTTTCTATTTATTGAGGTAATCTGCGGACGGATGAGGGGTTTGCTTTTGGAATTCCAGGTAGAATGCCTGTATCGGTAACCAGTCAGTCAGTCAGTGTATTTGAGGGAAGTAGGCTTACGCCTTTGAACTCCCTATTCGTACATAAAAAATCAATAAATAAGCAGAATGTGAAGAAATTACAGCAGTAAGTGAATGCAGGCATTGATTCACATCTGCCACTGTTCTCATGGCTAAAACTATGCTGACTCTGACGTCGTTTTTTGCCGTCTTAACACTACGTCCTGTAGCAACCGACATTTGCCATTTGTTTTCCCACACAGAGCCTTAATATCTTTTATCCAGAGCTTAAAACAAGTCAGTCAGTGGCTCCAGTTACCGATTCGCATACGTAATGCATCAGATCTAGGCTCCATTTCGCATCTTCTCGTACTTACTATGAGTGCTAGCGTAGTGTTTTAGATGTCAAGGACCACATCTCACTGCTTTCAGCAGTACTTCTTTGAATATTACGCGCAATTTACGGCGGGGTTTCTTAAATTACTTGAACATATTTTGATTGTGCTGATATCCATGGTGACCAACGCAGTTTCTACACCTAGTATCTGCTAAAATTAAGGTTAAATGTACACCCAGGAGACGACATATATTATTTTCTGCAGGTGTGTGATACTAAACTCACTATTTGTTACAGTATATTGGACTACATCAAAAAATCAAGGTGGTGGAGCGTTACGCACGTTCAGGACAAAGACGTAAAAACTGCAGAAACACGACCCATTACAGGTGTTAGAAGCATCGAAAATATACGTAAGTACATTACATAGTTCTTTGAATATCAGTCAGTTCAAGTGCAGATATGCTACCGGAATGGTGGTAAAATGTCCGTTGTCGTCAACTGTCAATGTAAATATTAGTGGTCTTGTGCAGCAAGATGGATGCAAACAGACAAGGCATGGGGATGACCTTTGTCTCTTGTCCAAAGAGATCGGTCATGAACTAGTTCTCTACCTCATGTGCAGACCAAATTCCACCCAGTAATATGCGCGTTAAAGTCACTCATAATTAAAACGTCAGACAGAGTAGCGAATCGATATGGTTCCCCAGCAGATTAGCAGCAGCTTCGAGGTCGTTTCTTGGCGGTCGAAAAATGGTCAGCGCTTCAAAACTGTGTGAATACTGCCACCATATGGAGCCACTTTGCCACAGTTTTGCTCTCGCGATTGTCTTCCTCCTATAACACCAGTGGTCCGTGTTTTTCGTACACGAGCACTGTTTCTGCCTTGCACTCACTTTTGTCTTTTATAAACAAGTAAAGCCCCGACAATGCCATTTTGAGTTTATACATGATCTGAGACAATCTTGTTTCTGTCAACGAGATGAGGTCTGGGAGCAGATCGTTGATAAGGCCTTTGCGTTCTTTGAACATAGACAATATGTGCTGTGATTTCGTATACACAAATTCAATTAAAATGTCTTATGAACCGGAATGGTACTCAGAATCACGCGGAGCCCCAAATATCAACGGGACAGAGAAGAAGAACACGATCGGTCACGTAAAAATGTATTAGAAATCTGCAAGTCGTTCTTACTGGAAAAATAACCGCATTTCTAACATTCCATCAGGGTTATCTGCATTCGGTACAATGCGGTTCAGGAAAAAATTCCAGAAGAGCTGGTCGATATCTCGCATACACGGACCAGTCAGGTTCAAGGGGAGCAACAAATGGCGAGGCGCTATCATCACGATGTCAGCCATTTTGTTAACGATGCACCAGAATTATTTCCTAATGGTAAGCCCTTCATGTATTCCGATGGTCCGAAATTTGCATACAGGTAAAAGCCAGCAGATCATGACATCGTACTTGAGCTCCTCAAGAGCGCCCTACAGGCGTTTGCCCAATGGTGACGCACATGGCGCCTTTCTCTCTCTCTTGGCATAAGTGCTCAGCCATGGTGGCTGGCGACGACCAACAACCTCAACCAAGTATTGACGGTCACGACATAAATATACCTGGGGTTATAAAGGATCTGGATGTATCATATTTCAAGAGTCTCAATCTCTCGGAGCACTGTGCCCTGATCGTCTGCAGAGCAAGAAACGACCGGGTTTATCCTCTGAAATTTTAAAACCAGCAATATCAGAATGCGCCTTTATAACATTTACGTTTGACCTGGCCTAGAGTACTGTTCGTTTTTATTTAGCCTCATGCATGCTACTGAGCAGAAGAAAATCGAA